ACTGTGCTAAGACAATCGTTTATTTTCAGCAAACACAAATTTCAAGCATAAGGAGAGACATCGTCTAACATGGTGACCCCCTACACCAAACCAACGATGGATTCAAATAGACCATATTGCCATCAGTCATCGTTGGAGAGGGTAGGTAGATGATTGTCGCTCATTCTGGAGTACCTGCTAGGACTTCGAGCATGCCCAAATACGGGCACGCATCTGCTTGCGCCTCACTGGACGCAAAAAAGCCACACTAAAGAGACCCATTAGAACTGAATTGTACAATCTCTACTACTTATCAAGGGCCAACAATCGCAGTGTTTCTTGACATCAGGGCTGCCTTCGATTCGTTGGACAGGACTGTTCTCTGGGATTGTCTATTGAAGGAGGGTGTGCCTAAGAAGTTTATTAACATCCTAAAAGCCCTATATACAAACACCTCAGGCAGAGTGATGGCATACAACCACCTCTCTCCATTGTTCCATTCGAGAAGTGGGGTTAGGCAGGGTTGCCCAATCTCATCATTCCTCTTCAACTTTGCCATCGATGACATTCTGGAAACAGCTCTGATGGATGTAAGTAATGGCGGTGTGGTTCTGTTGCACGGAGAAAGACTTCTCGACCTTGAGTATGCGGACGATATTGTCTTACTGTGCGATAATGCCCAAGCCATGCAATCCGCACTTAATCAGTTGACAATCAATGTCCGTAGGTATGGTATGTGCTTTGTACCTTCGAAATGCAAAGTACTTCTACAAGACTGGCAGGATTCTAATCCTGTACTCACCCTGGATGGTGAGCAGATAGACGTAGTCGAGAAGTTCGTGTATCTGGGTAGCTGCATAAGTGCTGGTGGGGGTGTGAGTGATGAGATCAATGCACGAATAGTGAAAGCCAGAGCGGCTTATGCCAATCTGGGCCATCTTTGACGCCTTCGTGATGTTAGTCTGGCTGTAAAAGGTCGGATCTACAACGCGTCGGTGAGAGCAGTTCTGCTCTATGCTTGTGAAACCTGGCCTCTCCTAGTTGAGGATGTTAGACGACTCTCTGTGTTTGATCATCGCTGTCTGCAAAGGATTGCTGACATTCAGTGGCAACACCATGTCAGTAATGCAGAGGTTCGGTATCGTGTGTTCGGGCACATAGATGATAACTCAATTGATGTCACCATCTTGAAACACCGACTTCGGTGGCTTGGACATGTTCTACGAATGTCGTCCCAGAGAATTCCACGTCGTGCATTGTTTGCCGACTCTGGGACTGGTTGGAAGAAGCGGAGAGGTGGTCAGTGTATGACATGGTGTCGGAGTATGAAAGAAAGCTGCATAAGGCTGGCTTATGTTGGCCCTTCACGACTCCCTGGTTGGGGTCCGAGAGATGGTGCGACACAGTGGCTAGAGACGTTATCAGATATGGCTCGGAATAGAAGCCAGTGGCGATCCTGCTGTAACCTTCTTTTACTTTGTTCATAAAAACTGGTTTCTTCTTCCTTAACTGAAAGATTTCTTCTGATTGTACCTTTTCGTTTCTTTCATTATTATTATTATTACGCCACCTTACACTAATCTGTTCGTTACTGCTTTTTTTTCTACGCTCCTCATCTTTTTTTCCTTCTCTTCAAATTGTCATTGTTTTGTGTGGCGTATATATATTTGATGCCCTCTTGTACCAATATTTATTATATTCACTAAATCTATTGTTATTATTCATATTACGTAATCTAGTATTATAACCTTTTTATTAACTGTGTTCACATTTCCTCACGGAATTAGTACTTTTACAAAAACAAAAATTTTCATATATATACGATTGTACAGCTTGATAATAAATTCGTTGAAAAGAGATCCCTTCGCTGAACTTCATGTTTTAATTTCAATATTTATGTGTTCAAATAAATAAATATACAGAAGGACGAAGTCTGTGTTAATCAAATAAATTTTTGTTCATTAGCTCTACGTTCAAACCAAATATTGGCGTTTCGGTCTTTATACTTGTAAAGAAACTCCTCCAGTCAGAGTGATTTATCAGCAATCAGAAGTTTTCTCAGTCAGCGTGCGCACAATTTTTACATTGAAATCGCGCATTTATTGTCTTGGATATGTTGTACTTTTTAAGAAATGGTGGAGCGCAAATGACTTTTGTTATCGCTGTAGTTAAGCTTTTCTCCAACGACCACAGGTGCTAGTGTGGAATTGTAAGTCAAGAATGTTTATGGTTCCATGTAGGCAGGTGTACACGCTGCTGTCAACCGTGTGTCTAGGGAACTAAGTATGCTTTCAAAGTACAGTGCGTCAGATAGTTTCCCAGTCGACACTCGGGGGCCCGAAGCCACCACAGACAATTTCTTAGTCGGGATCTAGTGAGCCAGTCTTAACAAGTGACTCGCATATTGTGGTACCAGATGTACTATTAATGTTCCGAGCTCGATATACATACTTATTAACTTTCACACTTTTGAGCGTGTGCGGTAAGCCATATCTAACCAGGTAATTTGATGAGGACAGCATCGCTATAGATCCCTGCTTTCATAGTTTTAGATGCTTACATGGAATAACCACCACCCCTCCAGTGACTCGATTGCAGCGGGTTTCAGTAGACCCGGGACAGTGTTTCGAGCACTAGAGTCGTTGACAATGGTGACACTTGGGGAGGAAGTTTCAAGTTGATAGTCGTGGTAAGAGGAATAATAGGAATTAAAGAGGGAAACTGATTATGAATATAGTGGTCTTGAGTGCTATTAGAGGTATGAGGGCGGTTTCCACTTCCCAGTTGCCCACACCGTGGAAGGGTTCTTCTATAGGTACCTGTAAAGGAACTTGGGTTAGAGTTTGTCTTAATGACCGCAGTGCCCAAGGGACAACTGCTCGAGGCCGGTCACACACGACCTTCTTGTGTTAGCTCCGTACTTGTTGAGACCTCACAGCCGGAGACGGACATTAGTGGGGCAAGGCGAGGTGTGTATTATTAGGGTCAAACCCCTAACCCCACTTCTCTTTTGTAGGAAGGCAGCATCGCTGTCATGCCGGTTGTCTGAGGGAAACACTGTTTCCACCACACCTCTGTACAATCAGCAGTGCAACTTCGCCCCCGGACCCTGGGTTTGCCACTTTTAGTCTTACCGCTCTGCAACCGACCTGCCTAACATGGTAGGATCTTGAGGAACTATCAGTTCACCACGATAGGCAAGCCCTAGCACCACGTCTAGGTAGCAGCAACGGTCCGTTTGCTGGGGGGTCAGGCCCGCTCACCGATTTGCTCAAATCGACGTTCAATACGCAGTAGTTACTGTTTTACGTAACACACAGATTGTTCTTAGCCCCAAGTAGATTTAAGTACACACAAGCACCAGAGTGATTCTTCCTCAACACGAAATTGTACGCAACATTCAGCCATTAATAGATATGTCTGGCGTGAACGACCACTGTATGCAGAGTGAAACTTAGAGAGAACAATGATAAATAACCTGAGCTAGCAGCTCGTTAAGCGCACAAAATGCACTTAGGAATTACGATGGGAACAATCGATATTCATTAACACAAGCGCGAACTTAAGACAATCTGCAAATGGAAAAATTGAAGCCTTAAATGTATTAACGACAGCTATGTACTGAATAATATATATATTCGCCACCACTACCAACCATTTAAATAAAAAGCATGTGGTGATTTTTTACATCGTTTCATGTGGCTTTGAAAATCATTTAGTACGATTAAGATATTTCGCAGGCCAGGTGTGAAAGAAGTGGTAATGAACTTCAATGTAAATTTATTCACAGCCCAACTCATACCGGAATACTCAGATCACAGATAATACCTAAACCGATGTACTAAATTCATTTCGAACCTTATTGCTCAGACTCCAGAAGCTGATTGTCTCTCGTGGACACTAATAAGGAAACATTGTCACTCTAGGCGTGAACTAGTTACCAGACACGAGAATTTGGATGTCAGGTTGCTAACATCAGTACACCTACTTCCAATTTAAAACGGAAGAAATAGCCGTTAATCCTGATCTTGTTGCCTGATCAAGTAAAAATCTATCACTTGCCTTTAAAGGACTGAGTGATGAATTGAAGTGGTACCTTAATTCGATAACCCGAAATAAAACATTCACAAAACTACTCTCACGTAATGGGATTGAACACTACCATTAAATAGAGGTGATGTGAATAATATCGGGAGCAAGTAATTCTGTTTCCTGATTTAGCGAAAAGTGAGGATCTGATCAACATATAATTGCGCCCTGTTAAAAGATTCTTCATTTAGTCTTGACCATTATTCCCCAACATAATCTAGCCATTGAAAACCTCTAACCTAAGATTTCAAAAACTGTTGAGCGAACTAACTGCTTTGTAGGTAATACAGGATTTATAACTCATAACGTAAAAAGAACAGGTGAGGTCTGTCTGGAGACACTATATGTGGTCTTCACTCACTAAATATCACAATGGATAATTTGGTTACCAATACTTGATTACCATGGTGCAAAGACGAAAATTGTGAATTAAGCTCGAGGTTTGTTATATTCTGTTGTAGCAGGTCACTCACACTCACCTTGACCATCTGTATACTTCGGGATGCAAATAAATGGTAATGAATTTACATGAAAGGTTTAAATAACCTTATCTTTGCATGAACTGGCGTCACCCAGTCATACGCAACATGGAGCGTGATACACAAACTCATCGATTCAATTCGCTAAACCCATATCATTTTAGCGATATGGATTTATCTAGACAAAACCCGATGTTAGTAGAATTGTAGTGAAGGAGAACACGGGTGAGGACAGTCAAATTGTATTTAGGGCAAATTACAGAATTACTTGGTAAAATAGAAAAACCATATAGTAAATCGTTAATTTGCAAAATGTAATTCTATCACATCCATTGTCTCGCATTTCATTGTTCATGCGATTTCTTACAAAGTCCATTGTTTTCTCGCTCTTCTTTTCTTGATCTTCTCCATCTTCTGCTGCCAGACATTGCGTTCTTTTGACTCACGTTATATACTACTTATATCAATATAAGTAGCACGCACCACAGAATCAATAGCGGTAGATAAAATTAGGCATAAACAATACGATTCGAGAAAGAATAGGTTCGTGAGAAAATAATGTATATGAATATCGAAACTTAGGGGCTAAAGGGAAACAAAAAGTTAATGCATGTGCTACCGATTCTCAACCATGTCACCCAAAGTCTCGAGTCGTCGGTCACGATCGCGCAACCAAAACCATGTAGTCTGAACGTACCAAACCAGACAACCATGTAACGACTAAATGCGTTATTTCTATCCTACGGGTTATTATTTTTCTTAATATGATTAGTTATAAACTGACTCAAATACACTTTGATATACATATATGTTTGACCTACTATCTTATTACATTAAGCCTGTAGAATATATCTATCCAGGACACATATACAAATACATTATTACTGACTTCCTGGATTTTATACATTTAGTCTACTAGTGCAGTGTCCCTTAAATACTATTTCCCCTAACGCCTTATATTTTGGCACCGTTGACAATCATCGTGGCGTAAATGTTTCCTAATCGTATATTTATGCGAAGTTATGTGGGATACGTATTCGAGTCAAATTTGCCTACGAAAGCGATTAACTCCACCTAGCAACGTTTAAGATTACAAATACGAATTAATTATTTTCCTCCCGCAAGTTTACTTATCATATATGTCCAATAACATTACTAACTTGATTTATTATACTTGCTTTCATTAGTCACCAGTGCGAAATACTTCAGGCATACTGTGAGCTGGTTGCATTTTGTTATGTAATTTTATTTCATATTATTTGATGGTTTAGCATCACTAATAATATCACATAAATTGAAAATGTATTTTTTCAAAAACGTAACAATGGTTAGCAATTTGAAGTTTGCTAGTTAAGAGTAACATATTTACAAAAGTGAAGAAGAATAAGAAAGTTATGACATCACAGATAACTCATTTTTACTCTTCAAGAGCAGGAAGCCAGAACGACGTTTGGTTAGATCCTGTAGCTAGCATTGCGAACCGGGGATTAAAAGCGAGACTATGAATAGCAGCGTTTGGTAACTGGGTAGCAGCTTCATAACCTGGTAGGCTTGCCACACGTACTCCAGTTTCAACAGACCAAATATGTACAACTCCGTCTGGCGAACCAATTAAAACAAACTGACTATCTGGTGTGAAACTGGCATGTAGCGTTTGTCTATCAGTATTTGGTATAACCTGTCAAGGTGAAAATCCTATTTAGTAGGAAACTAGTAACATAGAAATTATGGAACAGATTATTCAAATAAAATTGAAATTATAGCATACGAGCAACAACTTCACATGTCTAACTAGGAGTCAACTGATAATCTGAACTGCGATGATGAAATAATAAAAATCCAACTCAACTACTGTGTACGGGTTTGTGCAAAAAATATATGAATCAAACATCAGTTGTATGAGGGCTGATGACAATGTCTGATTTTTAAACCCCTATAAATGAAAGCAAATTCAAACCACCAATCCTATTTTCTGAAAGTCAATTAATTGAAATAACAAACCAAAGTGATAATAAATATGTAAGGAGTGAATTCTAGTCAAATATACAGAGGACGGGTCAGGTGTACAAATCAATTTCGCTTATACAGAGAATTTGTAAATTTAATTTTCATCTCTATGACCGTTTTATAATGACGATAAAACTATCAGTTTCCCAAATAATGATATAAGTTGATATTTTTACAGTCTTAGATGGGTTTCAACAAACTAAATAAAATAACCCATAGTGTCATTGAATAAGAAAAAGAGAATTCAGCGAAGAAAATTTTCTTTTCGACGAAATCATTTACTTAAGCTGTACATTCGTATATATAGTTATATGGAAAATGTATGTCTATAGAAGGATAGAAAGGATTGTATCACGAAAAATGGGTTCGACAATAAATAACAAATGAGGTTAACGTACTAATCAAGGGGTAAGGAAGAACAAAATTTAAGGGTCAGATGATAGTTTAATTGACAGATTGACAGATATGAAGAAAAACGACAAAACAACAAAGGTCATAATAATAAACTGAATGATAATCAAGAAAACTTGTAAAAGGTAATAATAATAAATGATTAAAGTTTAAAGTGCAAAATAGTAATTTAAAAATATGGATAATAATAAAAGTACATTAGAAAAAAAAACACCTAGCAACATACCCATTAAGGCCAAGGAAGGATAAGAGGTTGGACAAATCGTTTCTGCACACAAAGTTCAGGCTTCAGTTTGTGGATTGCCAATGCCTCTGCGGTGCATAAAATATTGATTCGAACCCCCTTCGATCCAGTTCCTTTGACTCTGTAAACTATTTTAAACGAAGAGTCTTTTGGAGCGATATGTCCACAGTTGATTAAGTGCTCCTGTATAGAACTCGTGATTGTTTTTCGCTCTCCTTTCAAAAGCCAAGCCGGATAATGTTCCGAGATGCGTTTGGATAATGATCGCTTTGTGGCTTTTGAAAGGAGAGCGAAAAACAATCATGAGTTCTATACAGGAGCACTTAATCAACTATGGACATATCGCTCCAAAAGACTCTTCGTTTAAAATAGTTTACAGAGTCAAAGGAACTGGATCGAAGGGGGTTCGAATCAATATTTTATGCACCGCAGAGGCATTGGCAATCCACAAACTGAAGCCTGAACTTTGTGTGCAGAAACGATTTGTCCAACCTCTTATCCTTCCTTGGCCTTAATGGGTATGTTGCTAGGTGTTTTTTTTTCTAATGTACTTTTATTATTATCCATATTTTTAAATTACTATTTTGCACTTTAAACTTTAATCATTTATTATTATTACCTTTTACAAGTTTTCTTGATTATCATTCAGTTTATTATTATGACCTTTGTTGTTTTGTCGTTTTTCTTCATATCTGTCAATCTGTCAATTAAACTATCATCTGACCCTTAAATTTTGTTCTTCCTTACCCCTTGATTAGTACGTTAACCTCATTTGTTATTTATTGTCGAACCCATTTTTCGTGATACAATCCTTTCTATCCTTCTATAGACATACATTTTCCATATAACTATATATACGAATGTACAGCTTAAGTAAATGATTTCGTCGAAAAGAAAATTTTCTTCGCTGAATTCTCTTTTTCTTATTCAATGAAACTAAATAAAGTCTAGTGAGTCCAATCGCTACTTAATAAAGAAAGCAAAATAGAAATTTGTACTCGATTAAAGACTTGAATCAGATACGTTTTGATGAACCGAAGATTATTTAGAACAACGAATGGGTAAAATTAAATCCAATTAGCTAAGTATGCATAAAATAAAACACAAAGATGAATATTAATCAACAAGGTGTCCTCAGGGAATAATAAACTGAATGCTTAATTTTATTACCCAACAAATTCTGCCGACTATGCATAATAATCGATACATGATATTTCACTTGCTCGTGATGCTTAGTGATCAGAAGCCTTGACTGCCAACTACTACGTCCGCCATGAACTACAGTTTCAAATTATGATGATGAGCAGGTTTTTCTTGTTAAAATTATGAAGAGAATGTTGACTGGTAAATTATGCGGTGATACAATGTTGCCAACTGACTGCTAATCAAGAGATTGAACTACTGGCACATCTAAGACTAACTGGTATTAAACAGGTAACACAAATGGTTTGTGGGAATTTTCCTTTAGTAAAATCATATGATGGGTATATATTAAATGAAAAGGAAACATGATTATATATCATTAAATATACGAAGAATTGTGTGATTGGAGTTTCATGGGCTATTAATGCGCCAACAAAATTATGGCCTATCTACAGGGCTTAAATTATCACCCATTACATGGGAGTTGCAGGCTTAAAACCCACACCAGCTATTCTTATTTGTGTGACCGAGTAGTATAACCATTCCTCACAAAACTTTGCAGCTCATAGCTCAACAGACAAACGTAAACTACGGTTATGAGCCATTTGCCCAAACCTGAGCATAGCAATCCACACCATCTGTCAGGGCGACGTGGTAAAATATGTTTGTTAATTAGTGTTGGACAAGCATATAGCACTAATGTAGTTTTCAACCTGCACACTCGCAGTTACGTAAGAGCTTTATTGCGACTGATCGTCTGAAGTGACTATGACAATCGATATTCGTTGGGATTGTTCACTCTCTTCATTTTTATCCGACTTCACGTATGCACTTCTAGAAGTAATACGCCGTTACTCTGATATCGCACTAGTCGATCCCCACCCATAAGATCCCTCTACTGACCTGGAGTACCCAAATAAAGTCCTGTTAAGCAATGATAATAAAATCCAGCTTTTAACACACCTTTTGGACTGCTGGTGCACGAACGTATGGAGTAAGTGTATGTGCAGCCGAATATTACATATAAGCACGAAGCTCCTGACTTAGTTCGAACCATGTAGAAAGACGTAAGTATCCAGGTTGATGTATGAAAGATTATTTGGGGACCTTAGCTAATGTAGTTTAAAATCAGCCTAGTATAACATAAGCTTCCTCAGCTTTTTATTCCCCCTCGTAGATTTGCCTTCGTATTTTCACCACTGACAATGCCATAATTTTAATTTCCTTCCTTTACGTTAATAATTTTGAGCTTTCAATGAAAATGGAAATGATGGAAAGGTGACTGGGAGGTTATAGCACCCGACTTTTAGTCATCAGGTTCCCCTAACTACTCCCCTTCTGGCACCAAAGTGATGTAAATATCCCTTGCACTAAGCGTGTAGTTCAAGATCAAATGCAAGAACTTACACTTGAGTACTAAGTTGCACAGAACTTATTAACTACGGTTTAGTAAGGTGTTGAATTAATAATAGCTTTGGGAAGATAATACTTAAGCTAATTCCTACAAGATTATGCCGAAAAGATCTAACCTCCAATAATCAATATTCTATGATTGACATGGTTAAACCTTATGACCTAAACAGTAAACCATAGTAATAAGTAAATTACTTATCACCACGTTAGAAGACTCCTCAGGGTCACCTTACGAGGCCATGGTTTTATGTTTTAGCTAAAACTGTAAGGACCCGTAAACGGTTGCATAATGTTGTACAGTATAAACATTACTTTCGGTTATGACATCGTAGCCAGTACTATTGAAACACGGCTTACAATTCACAAAGTTTCATAGATAAACTGGTCAAAACCCAATATTACAGGTAAAATATGACCGGCTAAGATAATGCGGACTGTTTGGATTGAGTTAAAAGTCTAAAGTTCACTTATTTATTTATTTTGCTTATTACTTGATGTTAACCAGTTGCAGTAATAAGCGACGTAACAACTGGCATATATGCATCAGTCCAAATTACGAAACCATGTTCGTATAGGCAGATAAAATTATCAAGACAAATCCCAGTAGTAAAAGTACTAGCAGTGTTCTTGGTAGCAAAAAAATTAGGCATGAACAATATTATTTAAGAAAGAATTCGTATAAAAAATACAAGATGATTTAGAGACTCAGAATCTAAAAGGAAGCCTAAGAGTGAATGCATGCGTCATTCCAACAGATTCTGAACCGTATCACCCAACGTCTTAGACTACTAGTTACGATGATTTCATGACCGCAACCTGTAAATAAGGTTCAGTCCAAAAGTCAATTACTTAAAGAACTAATACTGTGGCGTATGCTAATTATGTTGACATAAGCAGTATTTAGCATGCCAGTAGAAGATTCAGTTGAAGAGAACAGAAAGTAATTGTAATAGCAAAACAATTTAAAGAATCATGAAGCATGCAAAGGAAAACTGATGGAAGATGTGCAAATTATGTATTTAATGTGTGGTTTTCATATTTTATGTAAGCACCCTGCAAATTTGCACTCAACAACGAATTAGTCTTCCACACCTGAGTTCTCGTTCATTACGACCCCACGTCTTGGCTTAACCGGTTGGAGTTTTCTTCCAACCAACTAACACACTAGCGATCATCGTGCATCGAATTATCAGGGGTCGGGTACACCTAATGCAAGTACCAACCACCTCAGTCGAGAAAGACTCACAACCTTATCAACCGAATTGTCATGTTTACCTATTACCCTGTCTAATCTTAACCTTTTTCACTCGAAAGCCTCAACTTACGAGAGAGATGCTTCGGAAACATCTATGATCAAACACAAGTAACCTATGAATGTGTTGTTCTATGAGTGGATACAGTAATTTCTGATTACAAATGATTTGACAGGTTTTTCTAATAAGAAACGAGACTCATACAAACTGGGTAGATCTAACAATTGATACATAACACTTAGATGACAACCTGCTGAGTAATTTGCTAACACCTCTTATCTAACGCTATATAGTGCCACAACCTCTATTTTTAAAGGACACGTTTTAGTCTAAAAAACGAAGTGACGCGCAGTAAACCCATCCTTCTGTTGACAGACAGATATCTCATCTACAGCACGATCGAAGTAATTTGGTTGAAGCCAAGCGAGCATGCTGAATGAGTTAAGATTTCACCAAGCACCAACACTTCAGAGATGATGAGACTAGCAAGATAACTTGTTTTCAATGAAATATACTAACCGACACAGTTCAACTATAAAACTTAAATCTACACTTAGCTGTAGATTATATGAGAAATGTTTCTACGGACACTAACTTTTTGATTATTTAATACTTATAACTTAAAATGATGAGATATTCTGGTGAATATGATCACGTATCTTTAGCCCAGATTTCTACAAAGAAGTGGATTTATTTTTGCTTAACCATGTTGTTGACAGTGAAAAGGTATGCAATGTTTCAAAATATACCCCTCCAAAAAATTCGTTCATAAAAGTGTATTGAAATTACTCTTACGGCTAATGTATGCAGATGGGATCCCTTAAATGCGTCAACTAGACGAATATGAGTTCCGTTGGTCGTTATTAAAAGAGCCTTTCCATCAGAGGAAAATTGTAAACCGGTCCAAATGCATCCACTTGTTTCCATGCCCAATTTGAACGTAGCAAACGGTCCCTTATCGAATGATCGTAGGTCATAGAGCTTAACAGATTCGGAATTAATCCCCGCTGCAAATATTAATCCTTCTGGATCAAAAGCCGCTGTTGGTCGACCAGAAACATGCATTACACCCTTGGGGAAAAGTCGTTAAAAAAAGCAAAATAAGATTATGGAGGATCTTAGAAAATATCCATGTACTCATATACTAGCCTCAAATCATTAACAAAACTTATGCACTGATGAGACGTTGGTAATTCACTAATTCAAGCCCGAATACTGCTTTTTAACAAAATATCGCAGCTATACAAGATTTTACTAGCCTCTCTTCAAATGCTTCCATCCATACAGTTACAGCGTACATAAAGCAAGTGATTCTAAAAGATTAACTGCTCCGTTTTTTAATCACGTATAAATAGACAGTGCAACTGATGATGGCCTCAGTAGATTAGTTGTACGAAACTACATAGTAATTCATTTGACGTCTTGCACTTTGATGTTTAACTAGTGTCTATAAACAATAAATAAATTATTTTCAGATGTTTATCAGTTATTTCTCTTTGAGTCTCTATTGCTAAAGGCAAACTACAAACTTGTTAACATTTGATGAATGCTATAAGATCCATCAACAAACCCACAAAAACCCCACGAATTTAAATTTTCGTATCCGATATAGACTATCTGAACAAAATGTATTCTCTTAAGTGTTAGTTACTATGTAGATGTTCACATAATCGGCCTTGAGCCATATTGTAATGGCGAGTCTACACAGCTGCGCAATTCAGAGTAGCTGCCTAGAGGCTCGAATCTGCGACACACGTTTTAACAGCTGCAAGCTTTAACTATTGAGATGCTTTTCAAACCCATACTTTACCTTTTTGATGAACCAAAATATCACATAAAAGCTTTTTGGATGGCTGCCTGTGTAAAAGATGTTTCGAGGGATTCGACAAATGTTGGGTAGAAACTATTACACATATGCGCGGTAGCATGAAACAATCACCAAATAAATATTGTTTGCGGAGTCACAAAGCTTTAAAGTGAGGAAGGAATCAGTAACCAGTCTTTTGGTCCATCAACTAACTGACCCCCGAACATTTATTTATTTGAACGTATAAATATTGAAGCAAAGGGGCACCGAATACATATGCGCCACACAAGTCGCTTTATTTGCGTGTCGGATATGATACCGCCCGGGTGCCCAAACTGAAGCAGGTGGTTTTCTTAGGGGGCCAACCCCGAAGCCTTCAACCAACAGGTCTGATCCACAAGACAGTGGAGACGCAGTCTCATTGTAGCCGGTGACCAACGATTGCGGCGAGACTATAACTTATGGACGAACCAATCAGATTCACGATAACAGGTCTTGAATTTCTGCGCGAAATTCATTCACCCATTTGGCCAAATAGTCCTGGCACTACAACTGACGTCAGTTCGTGATGAAAACCTTAAATCTAATTCCTAACCATCAACTGTAAATCATAATCCTTAGTCTTCCAACTGCTTTATAACCTTCATTTAGCCATAGTAAGTAGACACTCTCAAGGTCACATTAGCGTCGATCAAAGGTCGTTCATAAATTATAGTCTCACCACGATTGCTTCATATGCCACTTGCTCGCTCAGAATACTGGAGCCCATGGTTTGAGATCAGTTTTTCAACTTCCCTAGGTGGACTCTGTGTCTACCAACCAGGTTAAAACGCCGGACATTCGCTTTTCGTCCTCTCAATTTCGTAAACAACACCTACCGCCACAAGAAGGCAGTGAGTAGGACTTCCCTAACAGTGATTGTATATGCTTAGCCGTGTGAAAGCATTTCGAGAGGGTGAGCTGACTCTCCTACCCTCGGCCGCAACAGCGCATTTAGAGGCCCTCAGTGTGATCTAGTCTTCAGTAATAAGGATAGGTCTATCGACCTATATTAATTCAATATTTTTCTAACCAAGATGTGAAACCACTCAATCTCCCAATTTCGGGGAAATGGCACCGAAACCCCACAATCTTATTACACTTTGAGGAAATTCGTCCGCATTTATTTATGAAACCGAAAAATTTTGCGCAATTTCCGTGAAATAGTCCAAAAGGTTTCATTTTAACGCAGTAATTCCCCCCATTTTTCGACAGATATCACGGAAAAACCTGCAGGTTGGAAACTGTAACTGAAAGCCTCGAAATCATTCTAAAAGCAGAACCTATGGAGCTCTGTTGCTTGGACATTAGGCATGATATGGGTGAAGAATAACAACAAAACGACAGATAATAAACCTTAATAAGGGGCAAAACATACATGGCAGTTAGGTGACCTCAAATCCCACAAACGAATAGTACTATCCATTGAACCAGACAGGAACGTGTCATCAATAGGTGACATACACAACGAAACGACCCTGTGTATACGAACGTAAATTCTATTAGCTTACCTTTTAGTGTGACTCTGGAAGTACCTGATGTACTTGTTATCATGCAAAGAAAGGTAACGTATTGTATCTTGAGAATGTTAGTATCAAAAAGTAATTACCATCAATCTTTGTTGAAGCGTGAATTGCAGTCGTCGGACTGTGAGTGAATTGTATCAAGTTTACTCCATATTTTTTGCTGTTAAGTGTACGTTTAGGTCTATGGTCGAATATGAGGACATGATAAACGTGATAATTACGTTCCGCTAGAACAATCGTAAGTCACCATCTGATCATCATCACTGCTAGAAATAAGCGTCTCACCATTACTGGAATAACTGAGGGAATTGATACGGTCTGAATTCTCCTTAAAATATTTCACAGGTTTAAAAGTTCTGATAGTAGAATCAGTCAGCTTCATTTGTCCCCAACACAAGATAAAAGGTAACGCGCTTCAAGGATATCGTCCACTGATGTAGGTTGCTGTGCACTTGAAGGTCAAGCTGTCGTAAAACGATTCGTGCGTCACCTCGACAATTTGTAAGGTTTTGCAAAAGCGGTCAAATCAAGACATTTTTAGATTTGAATTAAGTTCAACTACACTCTGTCTGATAGCGTTCATCCTTCAAGTAAAGAAAACGATGCCATCGTGATGACGCATGATATACGACGAATCTTTAATGATATTATGTCATCAGTTTCAGTTTGGAAAGGACAGGAGGCTTGATGGCCTGTGTTAGTCCCGGCAATGGTGGTCTCTCAGTTGATCCAACTTTCTTTTGAAAGAGTCGACGGTTGAAGCCTTAACCACGTACTGAGGTAACGAATTCCACTCGCTGATGATGCGATGGGAAAGTCGATAGTCAACTGACAATTAATTTATCCCGAGTCTGTGAATAATTTGGAGTGTCCTCGTAAATTCCCTGTTTCGGAATACAAGAAAAATGAGGGCATATCATGTGCAAATTTGTCACAAAGCCATTTTAAAATTGTAGTCAAGTCACCTCTAGTTCTTCGATATGACAACGGGAATAGGTTTAGCTTGGCCAATCGAGCAGCATACGGAAGCTTCGCTATTCCGGCAATCAGCTTAGCTTCTGTTCTCTGAACCTTTTCCAGGAGCCCACTATCTTTTTTAAGCAGGGGCTATCCGCTTGTATGCAGTACTCAAGTTTAGGACGTACGAACACTGTATACAAAGTCAAAAACGTTTTAACGTTGACATGACTAAAAGCCCTACGTATTGGCCATAAGGTTCTCAGGCCTTTTGGCGGCTATTGCACGGCAGTGTGCAGTAGTCTTTAGGTCTTGGCTAACGATGACTCCTGAGTCATTGTGTGTCTGGATAACAGGTAGCTCAGTGTTATTCATCATGTATGTATCTGTACCTTGATGACCGATATGCATTGCAACACACTTGGAAGTATTTCTCGCCAACTGTCAAGTTTGAGACCATTCAGATGATTTATCCAGGTCATTTTGGAGTTCTAAGCTATCACCCTTACATCGTATCGCTCTCCATATCTTGACATCGTCAGCATATAGCAAGACCGATGATTATATTAGACGAGGAAGGTCACTTACATACAAGAGGAATAACACTGGTCCCAAGACTGCCCTTGAGCACTCCACTAAGCACATTTTCCCAGCTAGATAAGTTTGAGTCTACCCATACTCTTTGTTGGCGAAGAATTAGATCTAACTAAATATTTAGTCCTTGCTTACGTCGCCAGTCAATGTATATTTAGGTTATTTCCAAGTCCTGTTTGCTAGAGCTTGATTTTTCAACAAGTTTGTTTCGCTAAAGCATGTTAATGCTACTAAAGCTTTTTAATGAACCATCAAAGCTAATTAATATAGACGACCAGCAATTAGTATCGACTGAGTCATTATGCTATAAGTACTAATCAGTTTAACAGCACGATCATACATTTGAGCATTAATCAAAGGACTATTAAAATAATGGGTTTACATAAATAAAAATCGATCCAGAAAGTTCAAGTGATGTGCGGATTTACAATATTGAGTTGTGTTTCCTTAGTCGGGCTTACCAATGTAGAACTAGGTCGACTATGATATTAGTACTGCTCTAATAATAGACCCAATCCTAAAATTGTACATTTTTAATTATAATAATAATAATTATATATATTTCTGCATGTGCAGGTACACGCCATCTTTACAGGCATGATCTATAAATTACAACATTTCTTGGTTCACGAAATGCTTCACAACTTATTAAGTTTACAGTTGTTATAACGTATACTCGTAGGGCGCTTGCTGCAAACCGTGACCTTGAGGACATGTGAGTTGGATTTCGCCTCCCTCCACTCTCATGGTATTCTCAAATATAAGAGCGGATATTTATATTACTGACCATGTATAAAAGGACGCCCCCTCTTTCCCTACATCTATGTCTATCATTTCTTAGTTACAATATAATATATTTCTGCAATGGCAGGTACACGCCATTTTTACAGGCATGATCTATAAATTACATTTATTGTTTCACAGCATGCACGTTAAATAAATGTGGTCATAAAAGCTAATATCAGTTCATTCCTTGGGGATTTATTTACCGCTACAGATCACTCCCCCCTAGTGTGGTAGTGATGACCCTAAGGCGTGGCCAGGCAGAAGTTTAAACCCAACGAGTTTTGTCGTTGGTAAACACTCCTCTGATAGCTTGCTAAGTTTAGCAGCGTCTGTTCGTCTTTCCTTACTATATAGGACCATGAAGTACAGTATAGTAAAAATAGAGAAAGTACAATGAAATTTTCGGCTCCTCGTAAACTGCATCGTTCTTTTCCAGCCGTCCTGGAAAAGAAAGAAGAAAATGTAAGTGCATGTCGAAATACACTCGTATGTGCGTAAAAACACAATGTCGGCGAAAAAAATGGAAAATAAACTCAAGCACACGTAATAGCGTTAAAAAAATTATAATGTTTTTTTGTTTTTTTTAATATAAATATAAATATATAAGCATATTAGAATTTTCAAGTAGTGCCTTAAATGCAGTAGTCGTTTAAATGTTCTGGAAATCTCACTCTTCTTCCAGAACGCGTCGTCTTAAGTTTATTTTCTGATACTATTGAAGTATCATCGGGTGTGTTGCCTGTCGGTTGAGGAATTATAAGCGTAGGAGTCGTGTCGTGCGATTGTACCGAAGGAAAGTCGACGTGAATAGGATTTCCTTCTAAATACGCTGCTTTTAAGCGATCGGTGCTGACGCTATCGTTTGTTCCGTTCTTATCGACTATATAGTACTTAGATTCACGTTGAAGAGCTTTGAAAGGTCTTTCGTATGCTGGTTCGAATGGTCGTCGATGCGAGTCTTGACGAACGAAAACGTGTGTACTATATCGTAAGTCAGGTTGAACGAAAACATCGGTTGATTGAGGTCCAGTGGAAACAGGTCTAACTGAACGCATTGCGTTTGTAAGCCTGTTCGTGTAGGAGGTTAGATCCATGTTCACTGAAGAGGATGAAGGGTCCACGAATTCTCCTGGAAGTCGGAGTGTTGTTCCATAAACGAGTTGAGTCGCAGTGTATCCAATGTCAGCTTTCAATGAATTGCGAATACCTAGCAAGACGAGTGGGAGAGCGTCAGTCCACTGTAAAACGTTTGCAGCTGATAGTGAAGCTTTTAGTTGTCGGTGAAAACGTTCTACCAACCCGTTTGTTTGTGGGTGGTAGGCAGTCGTTCGAAAACGAGTGATTCCTAAAAGTGTGGTCAGACGATGGAAAAGTTCAGATTCAAACTGACGTCCGCGATATGCAGTGGTGTTTGAAGGGTAGCCGAAGTTTGCTACCTATCGTTCGACGAAGGTGCGGGCCACTGTTTCAGCAGTGATGTCCTTGATAGGTACTGCTTCTGGCCATCGAGTGAAACGGTCTACGCAGGTTAAGAGGTAAGAGTATCCATTTGAATCTGGTAGAGGTCCTACCAAATCCAAATGAACATGGTCGAAACGAGCATCGGGAGTTTTAAATGAGCCTAAGGGACATTTATTGTGCCTGATGACCTTTACTCATACCAGGCCAGCAAAACGGTGCTGCTATAAGCTTGATGGTTGCACGGACGCCTGGACGAGAAAGTTTATGCAATGTGTTGAAGACATTGCGTCGATAATGTTTCGGCACGATTGGGCGATCCCTACCTGTAAATGTGTCACAAAGTAAGACTTCCTTGCCTGAGTAGTTTAAAGGTTGTAGACAATAACTCGTGCTGAAGATCACTGTCTTCTTTTTGAAGCTCGGCGAGTTTAAGAAGGTTGATTCCTTGGAAACTGTTCAAGGAAGTTATGCGAGATAAGGCGTCTGCAACTACATTGTTTGCTCCAGAAATATGTTGAATATCTGAAGTAAACTGCGAAATGTAGTCTAGTTGTCGAGACTCACGGGGAGAGTACTTGTCTGAAGAAGAGCTTTAGGAGAAAGTGAGCGGTTTATGGTCAGTGAAGAGTGTGAATTCACGACCTTCGATGTAGTGTTGAAAATGTCGTACAGCACAATATATAGCTAGGAGTTCCCTACCGAATATGCTGTACCTCGATTCGGTGTCTAGCAACCGTCTAGAGAAAAACGCCAAGGGTCGCCAGGAGTTGTTAACCTATTGTTGTAAGACTCCTCCGATTGCTGAGTCGGCTGCGTCTACTGCGATACTAATGGGTGTTTCGGTGTCCTGATGTGCGAGCATTGTTGCTTTAGCAATCAGTTCCTTAACTGTGGAGAATGCTTTACGTGCGGTGTCGTCCAAATTAATGGATTTCGCATTTCCACGAAGTTGGTCGGTTAGTAGTTTCATGAGTAATGCGCATTTCGGTATGAAACGTCTATAGAAACTTACCAGGCCGTTAAACGTGCATAACTGCTTGATGTTGGTCGGTTCTGGGTAATCCAGAATGGCCGCCACTTTGATTCTAAGGGGTCGAATGCCTTGAGCATCGATAATGTGTCCTAGGAAGTCTAACGAGTCGGTTCCGAATTGGCATTTCTGAACGTTTACAGTTATGCCATGTTTTTGAAGTCGTTCGAAAACAAGATCCAGATGCTTGAGATGTGTTTCTCTGTCCGGACTTGCGATTAGACAGTCATCAACATACGCGTGTACGAAGTTGAGACCTCGAAAAACGTCGTCTATGAATCTTTGGAATGTTTGAGCAGCATTTCGTAGACCGAAAGGCATTCGCAAAAATTCAGAGTCCGAAGGGAGTTATGATAGCTGTTTTTGGTATGTCTTCAGTAGCCATAGGGATTTGGTTATACGCTTTAACCAAGTCGATTTTCGAAAAGACAGTTGTACCTTTCAAGGTAGCTGTCAAATCGTGAACGTGAGGCAACGGGTAACGATCGGGAATGGTTTTCGCGTTCAATCGCCGATAGTCACCAGTTGGACGCCAATCGTTGCTGTCCTTTTTAGGGACCATGTGCAACGGAGATGCATATGGGCTACTTGACGGTCGTATGATTCCTAAATCTATCATGTGATCGAATTCGTTTTTCGCTAACCTTAGTTTTTCAGGAGCTAGTTGTCGTGCTTTAGAGAATACAGGTGGTCCTGTAGTCGT